GTCCTTCCTAAGGAGCATCTGCTCTTCCATACCGCGCTGCAGCTGCTCTTCCAACCGACGGGCCTGTTCCTCATGTCGGCGGGCCTGCTCCTGCAGTATCATCATCAGAGCACCTAAGTCAGGTGCTGCAGATGCAGGAGCTGCTGACGGGCCGGCCTCCGTGGTCGGCAGCTGGCTCTCCGACGTCTGCGACGTTGCACCACCAAATCGTATCTGGTCCGTCTCCAGCTGGCGTTGACTTCGGATACGGATACACTCCATGTCATCCTTTGGTAAAATCGGCATATTTGATCCCACTTCTGACACCAATTGTTGCGAGCTTGGGGTTCGATACAATTAAAAACTGCCGATTGAATTACCAAAATTGACACTTTAATTACAGAACACTAATTACAATCTAAAACCACACTAATAATAAAACACATTTGTACTACTGATCACTTTAGTTCGCAGTTTTTTCGCTTCGAAGTATCTCTTGTATCACCAATTCAATACTCACCCGGTCGTGGTCTATACCGGCCTTATATAGGGCCTCAGATAGTTTCCAGAACCTTCTACTTTAGAAACATTTAGTATGTTCGAGTACATATCGGTCCAGAAATTTCTAGAAGGATCTTGACTCTCCTAGTTCTGCTACTCGATACAAGAGGGCGCTAGTGGTGATTAGTGTTGCCATGTACAAGACGTTAATAGTGGCGCGCAACAATATTATGCTCACAAGAGCAAAATATATTTTCATCTAAAATAAGTATGTAATTTAATATAAGACTTTTATTCGTATTGCATAGCTGCTTATTACGTAACACATGACTCTAAATTAATCTAAAAGTAACTTTCGTGGAATTAATTCTTGACCGGGGAATAGAACCCCGAACTTTTGATCGACGTTATATTGAATCTAATTACTTTTAACATAGATTATCTCTTTATTCGAAGTGCCTTATATAATTTAATAGCAATGTTACCGGAGACCCTTTTTACTGGAAAAGAGGCATTTCATCTTAGTCCTCAAGGCTGACAACGCATCTGCATTTTGACTCGAAAACGAGGATAGATGTAGATGTCTATGAGTCATAGCAAACATTTACCATCAGGTGAACTGTGTGCTCGTTTGTCACCCTATTTCTATAAAAAAAATGTTTGCGAATGGAAAATTATTTATTTTTTATGGAATGAATAATGATAGACTATTTTTTAAGTGCATCGCCAATGATACTGATTTCATCTTTGGCATGCTTTTACCAGCTCCTTCCATTTGACTGCCTTCAATATAGAGCTGTCCGTATCGTCGACGGCCAAGTTTTTTCCGATCGGCTTGATCTACTAGGCTTGAAAAGAGACGTTGTATCTTTCGGTATTTTTGAGAGAGTGCTTCAAAGATTGTTCGTACTTTTTTATAGGAGGATTTACAAATGAAAATGCAGCTCACCCGATGTTACGTGTTTGCAGTCGCTCATGAACAACTGCAGTACCAGAGGAATTGCAGGTTCGTTGCTGGCCTTTTAAAAACGTATAGGCTCTTTTCTTGAAGGTCCTCAAGCCAGAAAAATACTCTCTGGGAGCTTCCATTAAGAAAGAGCTGGAGGATTCCATTAAGAAGTCTCACTCACTCACTCTGAAGACTCACTCTTTTCGAAAAGGACGGAAACACACCTGCAAATCATCTGGTGTTGCTGATAATCATGGATGACGGAGATCACTTACCATAAGGTGGGTCGGTTGCTTCTGTCTGTTCTGTAAAAAAATCCATCACCCAATTTCGTAACATGGGTAAATACATCTTATGGATAATTAAATTTTATGGATCCTACTAGCTGTTACCCGCGGCTTCGCCCGCATGGTCACTGGGAAATGAACTATCCATTGCTTTTTGAATTAAAAAGAAAACTGAGTTTTATAGATTTATCAGAGATGCAGCCATTAAAAGGAAACTGAGCAAAATTGATTCGTCAGCCTATTTAAATGTTTTGAAACGCAGCGTATAGGAAAGCATGAAAATAGCCTGTTTATTCCAAATGGAAATAGGATATTTTTTTAATTAAAGAAAACTGAGCATAATTATCCGTCAGGGATGCAGACCTCTGAAAAGAAACTAAGCTAAATTGATTCGTCAGAGATGCAGTTTTCTGAATTGAAAGGAAACTGAGCTTAATAGGTCCGTCAGAGGTGCAGCATTTGGGATTGAAAAACTGAACTAAATAGGAAATTTTGAATTGAAAGGGAAGATCTATGGGAATTCTGATTAATTGATTGTGGGAATTTTGGAAAAAAAACTGAACACTATTTTAAGACGCTACTGTACACAATGTTATATGTTTTTCCATTCGGGGAAAGAATGTGGAGATTCTGGGCATTTGACACACGCGAACATGCTACATACAGCTGACCATTAGAGAAGCACGGTTTTTCTAAGTTGGCCCCCGCTACTGTAACGTTTGCCCTTGCGCTTTATTAATTGTCATTGCAAAACTGAGCTTAATAGGGAACTGCAACCTTTTGAATTGAAAAGGAAGATCTGTGGGAATTATAGGGATCCGTGGTATAATAACATTTTCACCTTTTCCTACGCCTGTCAAAATTGTAGCACCGATTATGTTCCGTCCAAAATGTGTCACACGCAGCCTTGTCCCGTTACATAACCGAGGAACATCGAAATTTCGCATTAGCATGACTGGGACGCCTAATTTTAATTGAAGCTTATGTGAGGGCACACCTGACAACTCTAGAGAATTTAGAAACTCTACGGGATATGAAGTGCTCTGTTCTGTGTCCATAACTGTGTCTACTGAAAAATACTCTGTTATTTCTCCTGCTACTTCGCTTAATATATCTGAATTTATTTTGTTAACGCTCTCATTTTTTGGTGCAAGAATCGCCCTTTCACATAACCATTTGTCTTCATGCATTCGGAATGACTCTGTACTAAATTACAAAAATCTCTCGTCAATTTAACGCAGCCCTCAGCATCCGTTTCCAACCGCCTATCGCCAATTTTTAATAGTGTGTCAGCATAGTTTCCAGCATTGATATAATTATACAAATGCACTCTCATATTCGTAGTTAAACTGAATTTTGTCACTTTGTTCCATAAAATAGACGACTTGAGGCATGCTTTAATTTCATCTGCAGGTGTGCCCTTTTGAATGATAGGTAAAGTTTGGCTAAAGTCACCAGCCAGTAAAACCACCATTCCTCCCATTACATCGGTATTGCTGCGCAAATCCTGGAGCGTTCGATTTAGTGCTTCTACAGCTTTTTTATGCGACATTGCACTTTCGTCCCACACTAAAAGTTTGCATTGTCGTAGCATTATACCTCGTGCACTATTTTTGCTAAAGTTGCAGATCGGCGATTCTTCCTGGGCTAGATTTAGAGGGAGTTTTAAAACAGAATGTGCAGTGCGGCCCCCGCTTAACAGCGTGGCGGCTATACCGGAGGAAACTACGGCCACAGCAATGTTTTTATCTTTCCGTACTTGCACTAATCATAAATTTAACAAAAATGTCTTCCCAATTCCTCCAGGGGTATCTAAAAAGAAAAGTGCACCATTTCCAGATTCAATTTGTCCTAATACTTTGGTCAAAAACTCGTTTTTGTTCGGGAAGCAAGCGGGGTATAAATTAGGCTACTTGCTGCTGCAAAGCTGGTATATCGTAGTTTGTTTCACGTATAATTTCATCACTTAGTTCATTTTCGGTTGTTCGCTGAGGGCTTATCATTCCAAAGTCGCTTAATTTTTTGCCTACCATTGCCATTACTTTATCTTCAATTTTTCCAAGTGCTTCATTATTAATGTGTTCGTTGTATGTCATGTTCGCGTGTGTCTGCTGTAACCTTCGCAAAATATCTTCCGCCATGTACTCTTTATATTTGTCCCACAATTCATGTGGATTAGATAGCCCGCAAGATGATATGAGAGATGCATAAAGATCCCTAATTTTGGCTGGTGACTGGCACTGCACAGCTTCCTCCATGGTTTCATCCCAGTGATTATCGTTTTCTAAAAGATGCAGAGCTTCACATGCTTCTCTATAAGTTGCGCATTCCTGACCGTTGACAGTTTTAAGGTCTTTATATCCTGTAGGACCCCGAACATGGTGCAGCAGCAATCGTAAACAGAAACATTCAAAATTAGTTACATGGACGGTATACACACGACCAAGGGCATCTGATGACTTTACACCGGGCCAATTTGCAACAGGCGCGCCTTGAATACGGCGTTTCCACTCCTTCCTAGATGTGTTCCAAGTATAATAGCGGGGGACTTCAGAATATAACAACGTTTTTGCAAAGGGGTCGGTTTGACAAAGTTGAAAGAAGGCTGTTAGTGTAGTTTTTGGCGGTGATGCAATTCTTTCTTGGAAATTTCTTTCGGTGAAATATACACGCTCTCCATTTTCTAAATGCACAGCAAGGTGAGTAACTGTTGGGTGCCTTTCGTGTATAGGGAAGCCAAGGAGACGCCACGCTGCCTCGTTACTGCTGACATAACGCCCTGCTTGAAAGGTCTGTACTTATTACGGGATTTGCCTCACCTTCACTCCTGAGATTAAATATTGCTTGGTCGCTTCCTATATTTATGTACTTACAGATATACTTGATCGCGCGGACAGAGCTACATGCTTCTACATTAATGTGGGCATTAAACATTTTACATAGAATGGGCGAATACGGGAGAATCCAGCTGTTATCTAAGGTTTCGAACGCTCCAGAGCGAGATTTGATTGTAACTTTCCTGCCACCATCTTCCGGACCTCTGCGTCTGTATAAAGGGTAGCCATTGCCATTGTGCACTGTTTCTTTTAATAGCTGTTTAGGGAATTTCTTTGTACATTTTCCTTCTTTCATACATGGCGATATTGAATTTCGTGCTCCACACGGACCGTGAATCATATTTCGGACGATGGTATCATACAATTCTTTATTTTGCTCAGGATCCGGAATCTCGGCGCTTATTATGTCGTCTATTTGGCTGGGCCGCAATTTCTCTTTAAGCCATATTAGAATGTGGGCATGCGGTAATTCTCTTTTTTGCCATTCAATTGAATACATGAAGCACTGCACCTCTCTGAAAATATTTGTACTTTTAATCTAAATACTCTAGCAACTAAATAGTGTCTGTCAGTACTTTTTTGGCCCGGCATTAGCTCCTCGGTTATTTCTTTCCATGTGGGATTGCAAGTAAAAGTAACAAAAAGATCAGGTCTTCCGTAAGTTCGTATATAGGCGAATGCGTCTTGTGTGTACTCATGTAGGTAGCGGGGACTGTTAACGAATGATGAGGGTAGAATTACCATTTTACCTAAATTTCTGGGGTTTAAACTGGCGTCGCTAGAAACTGCATCTTGTAAATGTATATAATTCTCAACGCGCAGCTTTTTTTGATTTAAAGATATATAACGGAGATGTTCACTTTCTACCTTCACATACATGTCTACCAAAAATTGATGAAATAATTGTCTATACCGGGCTAAGAGGTTAAAATCATTTTCTCGCAACATCATATGATACGTATAAAAATCCATACATGATACTTTTTTGTTCGGAGTAGGCTCCTTTGTGACCGAGTTAATGAGTGGAATTTGAAAATGATAACCCTCTTGTACTTTGCAATAAATCAATGAGTATTGCAGAGCGTCATAAAACTTGTGTGTATCGGCTACCCGTTGCAACGTATCATCACGTGCTCGCAAGACAATGTCTCGTGAAGAAAATTGATCACCACTAATTACGGCTGCTATTTCGTTTATCAAAGGTGCATTGTAGCGCCTTTCATGCTCTCCTCGAGGGGTCCGATCTGCGTGAATGACGACTTTATAATCCTCTTCAGGTAGGATTTCTAAAGCAGTTTTAAATGTTTTGACTAAAATGTTACGTTCATGCAAGAATCTTTGAATTTTGAACACTGTGTCTCTCTCAACTCCCTGGATAAATTGGCAGCGACGGTCTACCTCAATTTCTTCGTCACCCATAAAATATACTTGTAAAAATTTATGCTGTTCGTTTTCAGCTGGAAAAAGTGAACCTATTCTATGATAAATTTGCCCTTGCACCGTAAATGTAGGCGAAAATCCCGGCATTATTATTTCCCGGTCAACTCCGAAGGACGTCATTTGAAAGCATGAGTTATATTTCCGGATCCTGTTTATAAAGCGCCGTGACTCATTAGCATCATATAAAAAGAGAGTTTTCAATGGTTCTTCTGGTTCCCCAAGTAACGGAAGAGACACTTTACCATTGGAACAGCACATGCCTGCGGTCTCATCTTTCCATTTTAAAGCGCTGCTAAATCGACACGCCTTGTCCATCAGTCCGATAACAACTAACCTGTGATTTCTATAATCAATCAACGGATCATAATTGAATGCTGCGTCATTAAAAACCGACCAATTGTTTATTTGAAAATTTTGTCGACGTTCAGCTTGGAGCTGTGCATTTGCATCTCTTCGCGCCTGTGTCTGTTCTGGTGTTTCAGATGCCCTTATAGTAGATTGACGTTCAGCTTGCTCAATGAGCCTATGTTGAGTTTCATCAGGTGTTTCCGCGGCTCTTAAGGCGGCCTGACGTTCCGCTTGTTCGAATAGCCTTTGCTGACTTTGAGCAGGTGTTTCAGTAGCTCTTAAAGTAGCTTGACGCTCTGCCTGTTCAAGACGCCTTCGCTGACTTTGAGCAGGTGTTTCAGTAGCTCTTAAAGTAGCTTGACGCTCTGCCTGTTCAAGACGCCTTCGCTGACTTTGATCAGGTGTTTCAGTAGCTCTTAAAGTAGCTTGACGCTCTGCCTGTTCAAGACGCCTTTGCTGACTTTGAGCAGGTGTTTCAGTAGCTCTTAAAATAGCTTAACGCTCTGCCTGTTCAAGACGCCTTCGCTGACTTTGAGAAGGTGTTTCGGAAGCTCTTAAAGTAGCTTGACGCTCTGCTTGTTCAAGACGCCTTTCCTGACTTTAAGAAGGTATTTCGGAAGCTCTTAAAGCAGCCTGACGCTCTGTCTGTTCAAAATGCCTTTCCTGACGTTGAGAAGGTGTCTCAGATGCTCTAAAAGCAGCCTGACGCTCTGCTTGTTCTTGCCTTCTCAGTTCAGCATCTTCTAAAGATTCTAGCGATCGAGCTAATCTTTTCGCTTGTCTTTGTGAAGATACTCTTGAAAGGCTGGACTTACCTTTGCGAGGCATTATGAAGTAACAACAAACCTATTTATAAAAAAACGTTAAAATACCTAAAAGGAATTAAATGTCCTTTTAAATATTTTTTTTAAAAGCAAATCCAAAATATCGAAAAGGAATAAATATTCCTTTTAAATATTTTTTAAAATCAAAACAACAAAACCAATTCAAGACACAACACGAATCCGAAAACGATAGCCAAAAAAAACGAATCAACTTAAACCAAATCGCAAAACAAATCGCAGGAAACCGAAATCGAAAGCAGTAGTCAATATAAATATAACCAACGAAAAAATAAGTAAGTGTATAGGTACCGTATACACTATCTATACTACTAATATTCCTTTGAAATATTGTTAAACAACCTAAAACAACGAAAACCAACTCACGATTCTAAATAAACAAAATCCAAAATCAAAGCCAGAGTCTAAATATGTATAAAGGAAAGGAATACCAACCAAATCAACAAAACCGATCCATCCAGAAAATACACAAATCCGAAAATGAAAGCCAATATAAATCCATTCAACCTTAACCAAATCACAAAGCAAATAACAAACAACCGAAATCGAAAGCAGGTAGTCGAATAAGCTACGAAATAGATACAATTTAAGCGTATAGGTACCGTATGCACTATAAGTTGACGCGCGGCTCAACGGCGGGAGTTAAGTACATGTCAGGAAACATTTCGTTACCGCGTTTTAAAAACCTAGTAACGACATCTAGCGGAATCAATTTAAACTATGTATACGTTAGTTAATAAGAACTCTCAAAAATATTTTTGTTATAATTTTGCACAATTTTTCTTATTGTAATACCGATTCATTCATAACCACATATAAGAACTGTATTAATTTCCGTTCAATAAATATTACTAAGGCTTATTAATAAGGCTTACTAAGAACTGTTTCTACCACAGTTAAGTAATAGTTAAGGGTGAAAGCGTGACAGGTGGTGATAGTATTTCTGATCCATACTTATAATCACGCCTGTAACCCTTGCGGGGTAGGTAGAGCATCAACGGATTACTTAATATCGTCTGCGAGGTTATCGCCTATTCTGTGAATTACAATGCACCAAAACGTTTGAAGAAAATCAGCTGGTGAATTTTATGTTTTTTATCGCTCTCTTCCCGGTCCTGCGTGGAAAAATACAGATCCATACATTTTTTTATCTTAATTTTTGTAAAAAGACATAATAATCCAGATATTCTGACCTTCTGTGTTCGTCCATTGTACCGTCGTCCGTCTTGTAGAATCACGGTGGCGCCACCTAGCTGAATTTAATTTTGCAACATATTCGATTTTCCCACGGGAATGATATATTTTTCCGCTGAAAAAAGTAGCCTATGTCACTCTACAGCCACCGAACTATCCCCATACAAAAATCATGCCATGCCGACGCTCTGCTGCGATGTGAAAGAAGGACAAACTTGTGCAACATATTCGATTTTCCCACGGGAATGAGATGTTTTTCCACGGAAAAAAGTAGCCTATGTCACTCTACAGCCACCGAACTATCCCCATACCAAAATTCATGCCATGCCGACGCTCTGTTACGACGTGAAAGAAGGACAAACTTTTGCAACATATTCTATTTTCCCACGGGAATGAGATGTTTTTCCGCGGAAAAAAGTAACCTATGTCACTCTACAGCCACCGAACTATCCCCATATAAAAAATCATGCTATGCCGACGCTCTGTTGCGACGTGAAAGAAGGACAAACAAACAAACAAACACACTTTCGCATTTATAATATTAGTATGGATTTCAGCTAGATCGTGGTATACCGGCGACGGAAAGCAACTTTTAAGGTGCGAGACGTCTGATAATGTAATGTAAACAATTTGGTACGTCACATATTATGAGAAACAACTGTCAAATCGAAAGTGTCGCCCAGCTCATGCTGTAATGAATAGTTGAATTAATGAATAGCTCATGCTGTACTGAAACTTTAATTGCCTACAAAAGAATTATCCAAATGTTAAGAAAGTCACGTATCTGAGAGAACAAATTTTGTTAAAATTCATATTTCTTATTATTAGCACTTTTATTTCATAACAATTAAATAAATAACTACAAATACATTTATGATTTACCTGAAAGAATTTAATAGGATATAATAGTGACAAAAAGTAACATTTCGATAAATTATTTTATTTTAAAAGTTATTTTGGTAATAAACACTTACCTTTGCATGAAACGGCGTTAAAATATGTACATAAAATTAATCCGCATGCTAAAGCAATTTAATTGACTAAAAAGGGTGCGAAAATCAGATTTCAATAAATCAAAAGTCGAAAAGGACCTCCACAGTAGACCACACACATTGAGGCACGCGCTTCGAATGCTGCCGACTTTTTGTTCTTGCCGCTGAGCGTTCGCCGTATGCGCTCGGTCGTTTTCGGCACCCGATCGGAAGGCAATCCCGTCGACATCAAATTCGTCTGCCTGCGCCTGAGAGTCGTTTAGTTAGGAACTTGAATTTTATTTTAATAAGATTCCAATTTGTCAATTAGAGAGAGAAACGCATGAGCAGAACTGGTTTGACTTCTTTACACCTTATGTTTTATAAGTTAGCGTTCATTTATATGGCATTATAAGGGACAAAACTTTTAAGTGATAGAACTTTTAAAGTTTTAATCAATTTATGTTAAAAATTCAGTAGAATATTATAATTGATGTGAGACTTTTGTAATTTTAGAATTATATATAATACTATGTACTTGATTCATACATTTTTTTTGTTTTCTGATTAGAAAAACATATTGAAACAAGAATTTAGTGTCCTTACATTACTATAAAAATCTTTTTATAGTGGTCTAATACACATAAGATATATATGCAAATAGTGTATGCGATAAAATTTTAGTTACTCGTAGTTTCCGGAACGATTAATGAATCAAAAATTAATTCAAAAGCTTTTATAAATACTTATTTTTTTTTACTTATGAATGGTTCTACAAGGTTTCAGAAAATAAAAGAATTTAAGTAAAAAAAAAAACGGCCAAGTGCGATTCGGACTCGCGCACCGAGGGTTCCGAACAAATCCGTAGGTATATAAGTTTATATACGATGTAACTAAAAATTTATGTTTTTCGCGATTTTTCCTTTATCTGTGCTATAATAAATTGCTTCGTACCAAATTTTAAGATTCTGAGTTCACGGGAAGTACCCTGTAGGTTTTGATTCCCTTGCGCATGTCGAAAATTTGCGGCATACACGGTTGTATCTTTTGATTGCGTTAGTTTAGAAGTTTGATTTTTTTACAGCTCTAAGGGACAGTAGACTTGAGTATTCGATATGAATTTCAGCTTGATACCTCCACGCGTTCCTGAGAAAATGGTCTTGACAGACAGGCAGACGGACAACAAAGTGATTTTATAAGGGTTCCGTTTTTTCCTTTTGAGCTACGGAACCCTGATAAAAATATGTTAATCATAAAAGCGTTTTATGAAGAGAAAATAAATGCAGTCGAGAAATATTTTTGCTTTTATATAAAAGTAAAATTTTATTGTATCTTTTAAAAAACGTTTAATATTGAGAAGCGTGCTAATTGGTGCATTTTCGTTATGCGCTAGCTAGCATGCACTACTTAGAAGATTTATTTGCTCAACTCACTGTGTTCGGCCGTGGCTTTCCCGTGCTCTTAGCAGTCGATAGTCGATACTGTATCACTAGTAATGCGGCTAGCAAAGACTGGTTGGCTGTATTCTTATCGGCTACTTCCGATCACCAATTTGTGAAATTTGATTTCCGTGTTATGTATGGATTTTTCGCATCAGTCAGTCATCAGTGCTTCGCATCTATCAACAGGTGTGTTGGCATTTAAGTAAAAGTTCGTATATTCCCCTTTACATAACTTGTAATCCGCCAACAATGGGAAGTTACAACCTGCTTAGGAATACTACAAATACCTACAACAAATTGTGTTTTAGATCTAATATTAATTCTTGTTGCGATTCGAAACCTGGCTCTACGCCACCGTAACACAACAGCTATACTTTAGTAAATTTAGTATTTAGTTATATGTGTGTGTGTGTGTATATAGTACTAATGTAAAATATTGTGTATAAACATAAAATGAAATAAATTTAAATCTAATTGTACGGATTATTAATTATTAAAATTATAAAATTTGCAAATTGGAATTTGCTATTTTCACACATTGCATTTCAAGCTTTATGAACCCACTAGTGGATAAGTCTTTTTAGAATTTGTCAAATAAAACTTTTTCTTTATATAGGAGAAGGGGCAAACGAGCATGCGGCTGACTTGATGGTAAGTGACTACCGCCGCCCATGAACAACCGCAACACCAGGGGAATTGCAGATGCGTTGCTGTCCTTTTAAAAAGGAGTAGCCTCTATTCTTGAAGGTCCCTAAGTCGTATCGGTCCGGAAAAATCGCTGGTGGTAATCGATTCCACAAGGAAGTTGTGCGAGGGAGAAAACTTTTTCTAAATCGCACAGTGGTGGACCGCCAATCATGCAGATGGTGTAGATGGTGTCGGGAGTTCTGCCGCGAGTGAATGTGATGTGAATCCGAACAATTCCTCAGAGCACTCCCCGTGGTAGATGCGAAAGAAAATGCAAAGCGATGCAACATCTCATCGCAGTGCCAATGAATCGAGCCGATCGGAAAGGACTCGGTCGTCGACGATTCGAGCCGCTCTGCGCTGGATGCGGTCAAGTGGTAGGAGCTGGCACTGGGGAGCCCCTGCCCAGAGATGGGAACAGTATTCCATGTGAGGCCGAACCTGTGTCTTGTAAAGTTGCAAGCGGTGTGCCGGCATGAAATACTGTCCCGCTCTGCTGAGCACGTGAAGCTTTTTACAGACCAAGTTTAGTTTAGTTTAGTTTACGACGGGCTGTTTTCCGCAACTCCACGTCTATGCGCGTATTTTGCGTGTGGGCAGGAATAATGTGATTATTCGAGCCATGAGATCTCTCCGAAGAAGCTCAATAGGCCCTTGATGTTGCATGCAACTTCGGGGAGTGATCCCGGCGT